CAATGATGGAATATGACTTTTTTACCAGACTTAGAATTAAAAAATAGTTTCTGTTTAGCATTAATTTGTTCAGGAAATGGCTGAGAAATTTGGTAAAATGAAATGTAAAACTATATCGTTCGAATTAATATAAAAGTTTTAATACACTTTTCACTTTACAAGTTTTAAAAACACAAATAGTACAATACAGCGAAAGGACACCATATACAGCACAATGAAAACACGACATAGTCAAAAGAAATAGTATCGTACAAATTGAGATATTTATAGGATACAAAACAAAATTGTTTTAAAAAGAATATCATGCACGGCTTTTCCCAAAAGTCGGGATATTTTTTGCTATTTCAGATTTACGTTTGAAGCGAATGTTTCGGAGTTTTAAATAAGTTTTAAATTGTCCGTGAATATGTTTTACACAGTAATATAATACTAAATCCTACCTTTCAAGTTAAATACAACATTTTGTGCTTTTTTTCTTTTTCTGGGACGATTTTTTCAATATTTTGTCGATTTTGTAACCAAATTTGCCGAATCATTCTTTTTGAAAAGCATTATTTACTACCCAGGTGGTAAATAATGCCTCAGATTTACTAGTCAACTAGCCAATCAGAACGCGCGAAAGCTCATTTGATATGCAAAATTTATACTAATTGTAGATATGACATATTTACATTTGTTCTTCCTAAAAGTCGTGTATCTTAATATTTTCATGATCAATATAAAACTATATACAGAAAACATATTCTAGTTGGCACAGAATATAGTCGAGTCTAACATTTTTACAAATATTTTAAGTGATGGTGCGTCTTTTATCTCATCCGGAAGAGAATTCCATAATTTAGCACCAGTGAAGGCAAAACTTGAATTGTAGTACAGTGTTCGATTTTTTGGAAGTTCGAAGGTTATTTTAGACCTTCTGAGATTATATATATCCAAAGCATGACAATGTTTAAATATGTCTATTAAATAAGATGGTGCATTACCATTTACTATTCTATACATCATCATAGCCTTGTGTTTATACCTCATTTCCTGAATATTCATCCAACCAAGTTCTTTTAAGAGTTTTGAGGATGATGTTGAGAAATGTGCCCCAGTTATCACACGGGCAGCCCTATTTGTAAAATTTGTAGAGACTTGTCTAATGTTTGATCAAGGCTGTCCCAAACTATGGAGCAATAAATGAAATATGGTTCAATTATCGCCCGATAGAGTGATACTAGGTTTTTTTGTGTTAAAATGGGCTTTAATCGCCTCAAAGTGGCAATATTACGGGATACTTTTAAGCGAATACTCTCCACATGGTTTTCCCAATTTAAGTTTTCGTCTATGTTTACTCCTAAGGATTTCACCGAACGAACTTGGCTTAATGAAACACCGTTTACTGACAATGCTATTGAGTCTCCCAAGGCCGCTAGCTTTTGTCAAGAAGCAATAACCATGAAATCGGTCTTTAAAATATTCAGTGTCAACTTGTTTGCACAAAGCCACTTGAATATTTTATTAAGCTCAATCTGCATTTTATTTTTGACCGATTCCAAATTGCAACCTGTGGAAGTCATATTTGTATCGTCAGCAAATAGCCTGGCAATTCCATGTTCCAAACAACTGGGTAGATAATTTATATATAGCAGATAGATAGATAGATAGATAGATAGATAGATAGATAGATAGATAGATAGATAGATAGATAGATAGATAGATAGATAGATAGATAGATAGATAGATAGACAGATAGATAGATAGATAGATAGATAGATAGATAGATAGATAGATAGATAGATAGATAGATAGTTTTATTAAGAATAGTAGCATTAGTAGCATAAGTTTTAGGCTTTATCGTTTGTTTTTAAATTGTTACTTTTTTCTACCACTAAGTAATGATAAATTATTGTTAATAATTTTTTTATTTTTTGGATGCTCAGAATGCAGGAAATAGCATTTCCGGGTTTCAAATTTCAAAAATTTTCTGGGAATTATCCCTCTAATAAGTAATGATAAATTACAGTTAATATTCTTTTTTACTTTTTGTGCATTTTTTTCATCTTTTATTTCAAATACAGGTATAGTTAGCATATATTTTAGAGCAAATTTGGATGCTCAGAATGCAGGAAATGGCATTTCCGTGTTTCAAATTAAATTTCAAAACTTATCTGGGGGAGTACACCCCCACACACCTGACCATTCCCATCCTCCTCTAATAAGTAATGATAAATGATGGTTAATTTTTTTTAACTTTTTGTACGTTTTTTCCTTTAGTTATTTCAAATACAAGTATAGTTAGCCTAAATTTTGGAGCAAATTTGGATGCTCAGAATGCAGGAAATGACTTTTCCGGGATTCAAATTTCAAAAATTTTCTGGGGGAGTACTCCCCCAGACCACCCCCTATTCATGGGTGGTATATTGGCCACACACGTAGCCTTCAGCCATTGCTATCCCCCTCTAATATATTATCTCACAGAAGTCCCTTTTCATAAAATGCCTCCCCACGGGAAAATCCTTAAAAAAGGCCCTGGCGCTACTTTAACAACCTATAATTTAAAAAGTACGTTAAAAATATCTATATAGCTATGTTTAACTGTTTTACTGTCTCATAATGTTATTTGGTTGTTTTCCTATCGTGATTTCTGCTACATGCCATTATAAACGAGTTCGCAAATTGCTTCGTTTTCACCAGCGGTATTTCAAAGGTTCTTTTCTTTCGAAGATTGTAGTTCGTGTTCGTGTTGTACTGTGGTAAGAGAGAGTGTAGTTTTGCACTTTTGTCCTTGGAGATTTGATCAAAGAGATTCATTGACAAGATTTCATGGCGCTCGCTGATGGTTTCCAGTTTCGTTTTCTCCAGAGCTTCCTGATAAGTGCATTCTGGTAATACTATCGCTAAAGCTCTCTTTTGGATTTTCTCCAATTCTTGTTGAAGATACTTTGGAAGGGAATTGTGAAATAAGGGACAAGCATAATCCAGAGTAGTTGGAATGCATGAAGAATAGTATGCCACAATATCTTCTACAGGAACATTAGCTCGTTTCAATTGAACAAGAAAATATAATCTACGGGCTGCTTTCTTAATTACTTCTTCGATATGGTCATTCCAAGACAGTTTGTTATTGATAGTCACTCCTAGCAGCTTGGCTTTAGATACTTTCTCCATTGGGATTCCATCGATTGTTACTGGAGGATAGGGCTGTCGATTACGACCGAACGAGATGGTTAGTTCTTTACACTTTTCTCCGTTCAATTGAAGAAGAGATTCCTTTGACCAGTTAACTACTTTGTCCACGGCTATCTGGGCACTGCTATCGTGTCCACGAATAATGGTTTCCGATACCGTCGAGTCATCCACGTACTTCCAGATGTCAAAGGGATCATCAGAAAACCAAGGTTACTTATCATTAAAATAAAAAGCCATGGGTCTAATTCGGTACCCTGCGGAACACCCGAGGGGACAACGCCCCATTCAGACATGCAATCATGACTCAACTTTACTCTCTGTAGTCTCTTCGATAAAAAACTTATTATCCAGTTGATTATAGTGGTGGGAATATCCAGTTCTTCCAATTTGTTGACTAGGATTGTATGATCGATTAGGTCGAACGCTTTTCGGTAGTCAAACAATAATACTCTTACAACAGAGCCCGTGCCGTCTGTTTCGTAAAGCCATTTATGTACCATGCTTGTGAGTGCTGTCACGGTAGAGGATCCAGGTACTGTACCGTACTGATTTGGATCTACGTTCTTCAATATGGCGGGTTTAATATAATCAGTAACTACAAATTCCTCAACAATTTTTGAAATCGATGGGGTGAGTGAAATAGGTCGTAACTCTTTTTTAGGATCTTTAACTTGTTTGACCTTTGGTATTGGTATTACGTTCGCATGCTTCCAAACGGGGGGTAGTCGCTGTTCCCTAAATGACGAATTCAAGATGTTAGCTAACGGTTCACAGAGGATTTCTGCATACTCTTTAAATATCCAGTTGGATAGACCATCAGGACCCGGTGCCTTATTCTGCTTTAAATGCCGCAGGTTGTTACACACACGAAAACTTGAGACTTCGAGGAAGACAGTTGTACCTTCGTCAACTGATTGAAGGGAAGCATTCACGTCTAGAGGAGTATAGCTCTGCAGAGGTTCCAGTTGGGCAGCATTGATTGAGTTAGATATTTCATCTAGATTCATGTTTTCGTAATCAGGAACGTACAGCCTGCTCGTCACGTCGCTGTCGTTACTTTTAACGGATCCACTTAGTTTTCTTACTTCCTTCCACCAACAACGCGGATTAGACCCCCTTCAAACTCTCTACCTTCGAAGAATAATACAACGATTTGCACCTTTTTCTTTCTCGGTTGACTGCATTGTGGTAGAATTTAAAACGAAGACTGTTTCTATCGGCATGGAAGGCTAACTGTCGAAGACGAATTAGATCTTTTAATTTCGTAGTCATCCAAGGAACATCGGTTGGATATACTTTTAAGGTTTCCTCCGGCATGATGTTGTCCAACCCAATTTTCACAAGTTTAGTAAACATATCGTACTTGGTTTCGCATTCATCGTGTACATTAATGACTGACCAATCAATAGAATTTAAATAACGTCTTAAGGAATATTTTTTGCTGGTGCGAGTGTCCCGTACAGTGATTAATTTCTTTGAAGCTTGCCTAGGAGTTCTTACTTTTGGCACCACCGACACAGTATTGTGATCAGAAAGACCAAAAGGCGAGGTTATTTCGGGCTGGGAATATAAGTCACTTAATGTGGTGAGGATTAAGTCGAGAGTTGCTTGACCTCTTGTAGGTGCTTTAACTAATTGTTTAAGTTTAAAATGTCTTTAAATAAAACTGACGTCAAGCTTATTAAAATCTCCTGCGACTATAATACCACAATTAGGATATTGAGACTCGGCTAATAATAGATTCTGAAATAGATGATCGGATATTGATTTGCCGTCGGTTCCCGGGGGACGGTATACCACTGCTATTATTATACATGAAAACCCACGTGGATTACATTGAGATGGATTTTCAACCAAAGAACTTCATGTTCCCGACAGCACTGCAGATTTTCAGGGATGGTATATTTAATTTGATCTTTGAGGTATATACAAACTCCTCCGTGTTCGTGACTACTACGGTCTTTCCTTATAAGGTTAAAACCCGATATTTTAACGATGGAGTCGTTAATACGATCCTTTAGCCAACTTTCAGTTATGAAGCCAATATCAATTTTCTTCCGCAAAAGAAATTCACTCACTTCGTCAAGCTTAGGTGTTAAGGACATTACATTAGACAACATAACTCTTGGTACAAAATGGGGTACTGTTTGATTGTTATTGTCCTTACAGATTGGTATTTTAATTAGATTCGAAAAGTTAACTCCTTTAGTGTTGGAATTTGAATATTCAAATTTGGACCTTTTTGTACACGAAGTATAGTGAACAGGAATATTATGCCTCTTCCTAGCTTCATCCAACTTTGTTTTAACTCCTCCACGCCTTCCCCTTAGTCTATAAGTATTTTCCAACATATTCACAAGCTCCTGCTGGGAATCAAGGCTCCTAATTTGCTTCGAGTCCGATATATTATACAACAAAATCGATGGGCCAGTGAGCCCACGCGTTGTAAACGAATATATGTCCAACGAGAAAACCAAGATATAAACCACCACGCATCGTAGAAATAGCATACTAATAGTCAGATGTATCTTTGGACACCATTAGTCAACCCAATAGAAGAGAATTACAAGTAGATAAATAATAAAACTGATAAAAATCCAAAATCTTTTCGGAGCGACAAAATCGTGCAGCCGTGACCGGCGCTTACATGAAAGGTCTGGGACTGCAGTGCTTGCAAAAAATATTACTTCTTTTTTAAACAACACTCCTAATTGAGAAGCAGAGACGGTCAAGAAACCCAAATCAGAAATTCAAACGACGAATAATGACAAATTTACCGACCCCAACAAAGATAGTTTTCGAACAAATCCGCATGCTCCTAAAATAAATCGTAAGACAAAACACATGCGTGGTTTCAAAATTGCTCATTTAAACATTAGAAGTTTAATTAAACATATTGATCAATTCAGATACTTTCTTAAAGAAAAACAATTCGACATAATTTGTATTAAGGTGGCTCCATACAGTTTCTTGAAAAGTGGAAAAGACATATTTCAGACCGAAAAATTTTGTACATTAATATTTTAATTGATAGAAGAATTAAACCAGAACACTATTTTGAGAATCAGAAACTGTAACGGAGAAGTCCGTAACTGTGGTTACTATGGCATCAAGACGTTTCAAAATGGCTGCTAATTTGCATTTAAACTAGTTTAATTCGAAAACAACGTCGGTGATCCCCAATTTTTATTTTATTAAAAGTTTTTTTTATAGTATGAGCAACCGTTAGGACAATTTTTAAAAATTTCTGTAGATCCAAAATTTTTCAAATCGAAAGAACGTGTTTATTCCTGACAAAAAATTTTTGGATCTATAGAATTTTTTTAAATCGTCCTAATGATTGCTCATACTAGAAGAAAACGTTTAAAAAAATAAAAATTGGGGGTCACCGACGTTGTTTGCGAATTAAACTAGTTTAAATGCAAATGAGAAGCATTTTGAAACGTCATTGTTGCCATAGTAACCACATTTACGGACTTTTCCGTTACAGTTTCTGATTCTCAAAATACTGTTCTACACAAGACATCTGGTTTCATTCTTCTATAAAAATATCAATGTACAAAATTTTTTGGTCGGAAATGTGTCTTCCACTTTTCAAGAAACTGTATGGAGCCACCTTAATGAAACATTACTGGACGAAACAATTAATGATCATGAAGTTAATATTGAAGGCTATGACATTGTGAGAAAAGATAGAAATTGTAATGGTGGTGGGGTAGCTATTTATGTTCGAAGTACAATCAATTACATGATAAAGGCTGAGTTTGACACAGAAGGCTTAGAAACAATCATGGTTGAGATCTATAAGCCCAAATCAAAACAATTTATTATTAATTGTGTATACAGACCTCCAGATTCAACAGTCGAATTATTAAATACTTATGAAAAATTAATCGAGAAACTTGACTACGAAAACAAAGAAACAATCTTGATTGGAGACAATCCAACTGCGATTGGACAGGCGTTAAGACGGATAAAGTCAAACCGCAAACTAATAAATTGCACGATATTACTCAAACGTATCAATTCGAACAAATGATAGATCAACCCACGCGAGTAACTGCCAATTCAGAAACAATAATCGATTTGGCTTTTACAAATAAACCGGAACTAATAATTCATTCTGGCGTAATCCATATCGGAATAAGTGATCATAGCTTAATATTAATATAAAGAAAAATTTCTATACCACGACCTGAACCAAAATTAATTAAAAAAAGGCAGTTCAAACACTACAATGTTAGTGCTTTTAGATCGGATTTGGCAGCATGCTTAGTAAATTTAACATCTACCTTCCAAGATCCTAACGACATGGGGTCAGAATGGAAAGATAGATTTTCACTAGTCGCAGATACACACGCACCACAAGAAACCAGGAAAGTAAGAAGTGTAAACTCTCCCTGGATTACAAAACGTATAAGACAAACAATGCGCCATAGGGACTATCTTAAGAAAAAGGCTGTTCAAACAAGATTTAAACATTATTATGACGCTTATAAAAAACAGCGCAATGAGCTAAATAAATTGATTAAGAAAACTAAAGCCGAATATTTTAAAAATAAACTTAACAGTTGTGAAAACAATAAATAGGTTAACTAACAAAACTTCTAAAACAACCAATATCACTGAAATTAATCAGAGCGGTAAACGCATAACCGACGATCATACAATTGCAAATACATTAAATGAGTACTTCAGTGAAGTTGGACCTCAACTTGCTGCCAATCTATCTCAAAGTTTGGAATCACCAGAGTCGTATTTAGTACGCCGCAAATCTCATTTTCAAATTCAAAACGTCACTATACAAGAAGTTTCTAAACTCCTTTCAGAAGTCGAAACGACGAAATCAATCGGGCACGATGGAATTCCGAATAAATTATTGAAGGACGCAGCTGACATTATAGCTCCCTCATTGACATATATATTTAACGCATCAATTATGACGGGCATATTCCCAAATGATTTCAAAGTAGCTATTATTTCACCAATTCATAATTCAGGGTGTAAGACGCATTGTAATAACTATAGACTATCTCGGTTTTGTCTGCAGTAGCCAAAATATTGGAGAGCTTGATTACTAAACAACTTGAACATTATGTGGAAGAGAATGGCGTGATCACAGAACATCAGGCCGTGTTTAGAAAACAACATTCTACCCAAACATCCCTTCTTAACATAACAAACGAGTGGTATATAAACATGGACAAAGGATGTATGAATGGTGTTCTACAGTGTTGTAAAGGCAGTCAAGCACTTTCTCCCCTTGTGTTTCAGCCTCCTTCAATCATACATCTTATTCATCGTATTCTAACGCTTTATCGTGGCAACAAAACAATTCAATATCCTTTGGCTTCAATGCGAAATGCGCCAAGCATTTTCGACCTCAAACACTTGGTGATTTCCTCGTCAGACGATTCACTCTGTTCTTCGGAGTCGCTCTCGTCACCGCTATCGCTTGTTTGTAAGCCCAGTTTAGGTTCAAATTGATAAGGCAATACCTTATCTACTTGACATCGTGGATATTTTCCATCTAAGTAATCAAAAAGCGCCAAATTTCTCACTAGAAGTACGAAGTTGCAATATGCGCCTAATAAAATATATTTGCTGTTTTGATTCTACCCTGCTCTTGACGTCACACAGGTCATGTGACCCAAAAGATAATTTTTTTGAAAATCGATCCAAGATGGCGGACGTACTGAATATTTACGGTGAAATAACTCGAGAACAAAACATTTTTGATAAAAACTAATAGCATATTCGTAATCAGGGGGTCCAGTTTTACCAATATCAGGAATAAAAAAATTTATTGCCATTATCCTTTAATAAACATTCATATTTTGGGCACCCTAAAATTTCCATATTAACGCACGAAACACCGATCCGATTCAATAAATTACGTCCAATATTTCCGCCCTTGTACCCCACCAAATCGGCATCTTGAAATATTTTACGCAACATGGCCACTATTTCACTATATAAATAAAAATTATTATCAATACGCCGTCTTTTAATGGGCAGACTGTGTATTACCCTTATTTGGTAGCGGACTGCGCGATCATTTTCATCAAACAGCGTGACATTTGGAATGTAAATTTGATACGTCGTAACAATATTTGTGGCTCTACACAATACAGAAACTTCGCGTAGAAAATTGTTTTTACGCCATGTATACGCCTCACAATCTATAATGTGTGTTATACGACTCTTCAAGACATCACGCTTATTTTGAACATCTCTTAGCACATTTTCATTTATTTCACAATGCGGCAGTTGAAAAAACACCTCCATTCTCTCACACAATATACCACACAATAAAACATTTATTCCCACACTTCTAATTCTTCCCGACTACTACATACACATACTGTCGTATTAATACAATGGCACATCGTGGCCATATTTTCAATTACTCGTTTCAAGCATCGAAAACAAAACAATATTTTGCTAACTAAATGCGACGAAATTAATATACCCTTATAAGTTTCCAGGGCATCTAATACACCCTCAACATCTATAATTTTATGCGCGTACACGCATTCATACATAGAATCTATGCATTTGCGAATCGTGTCACGATATACGTGCCCTTCAAAATCCCGATGTTCACATTTTTCAAAAACTACGCTATACCCGACAGTTCGTTTATAAACCCCTTCAGCATGTACAGTATACCCATATTTTATATCAATGTGTGCTAATATATGTAGATAAACATCCTTATTTAAATTTTTAAAAGTTACATTAATAGTCATTGTACGATTATTGTCATCTATCGAACTATATGTTTCATACAGCCATTTATCCACGTCCAAATAGACCCGATCATAGCACATCAGGGGATAACCATAAAGAGTCCAATTCAGGTTTTTCAACAATCTATGCAGTTTCTTCCCCTTTGGGCAGGCGGGCTCTAAAAAGCACCTCATCACTGGAAAGTTGTTTCACGTCAACAAACACCTCGTCACACGAATACGGTATGCTGCAACGGCATTCACCCCCAAAACCGCCGCACAAACAATTGCTAAAACAAAAATGTTTCACAACTCGTTGCAAATGCATGGCATACTTCAAAAGTTGTATCAGTCTTATCGACACGTGCGCACAAGTTAGACGCAAAATTTCCCGTTGTATTTTATCTTCGTGATAAGTATAACTTGAAACCAATTGCACAATTTTGTCCAAGCACTCCAAAACCTGCGGTTTTACATGAACAGAATCCCAAACTTCCGGACTAAGCGTAGTACAACGATGTAATTTAACTACTGTCCGCTGAAAATCCGTTCGAAGATATTGTAATGTGCTAGCCCAACATGAGTTTCACAACAACTTTATTACAAGCAAAAACACCTATTTATACAAGTGTACACCTAATTGGCAATTCAATTAGACTATTTACATATTTACATAATACTTGGAGCATGTCACGCCACATTGCCCCCTCCTTAGTTTATTCGTCCCGAATAAAGTTTGTTAATTGTTTTAATTAAGTGTTCCTTGATAGCGCCACAACCTATTTCGATGTACGACACGAGGTTTAGCGTTCGCAGATTTCCTTACTCTATACAACAGTTCATTAATTCTTTTAAGAACAACATAAGGTCCTTTTCCCAGTCACAAGTAAGTTTGGGGGATACACCTTTTCTCCATTTTGGGTTGTATAGCCAGACAGCATCTCCTTCAGAAAAGACGGCTTTCGTCGTACCAACATCATAGCGAAGTTTCATTCGATCGCTGGCGACACACATCTGAATGCGTGCAAACTTGTGGATTTCTTCTAACTTTCCCCTTAGATTACTGACATAATCATCCACTGTACTTGGTAACACTGGTTCAGGGGGTCGACCATACAACAGGTCAATTGGCAACCTCACCTCTCGACCAAACATAAGACATGCTGGTGTCTGCTTCGTACTCTCGTGAATTGATGTTCGATACGCCAATAATAGAAATGGTATCCACCTATCCCAGTCTCTTTGATTTTGTTCGACAAATATCGCAAGCTGGTTTTCCAGAGTTCGATTGAATCGTTCAACCATTCCGTCAGATTGTGGATGCAACGCGGTTGTTCGAGTCTTGTCAATTCCTAACAGTTCGCACATTCTCTGGAACAGCTCTGCCTCAAAGTTGCGTCCTTGGT